CATTGCTCGCGTGTTGTATTCTCTACAAGGTGTTGAGAGTAATGACACTGCTTCTTAACGTAGTTCTCCATGTGCAAAATTGTATCCTTTCGGGAAATCAAACCTAGGCGGATTTGGTCTTGAGAAATTGTAACGAAACGTACCTTGTATACAGCACCATACCCGAGCAATAATTTCAGGTTCGGTCCCGAAAACTTCCTCATTACAGAGATCAATCAGCCGATATCGTGGCATCCTTTGCCACCTCATCAAACCGTTTGATCGCAAAGATTTCCTCGGGCAGGAATGAAGCTGACCAAGCTCAAAATATGGCTCAGTTAGGAGTGATACCATGAGTTTTGAACCTGGTCATGGCAAAGTAGGCAAGCTCCGTGATGTGGGTGGACAGCGTGCCGTGGAAGACGTATGGCCGAATCGACCAGCATCTTCGGGCGAAATGCCGTTTGAAGTCTCCGTTACTGCTAAGAAAATAAGTAAGCTCAAACCACCAGCGGTCGCTGAAGGCGGTGAATATCGCTACGATGAGAATTGCAGTCTATAGACCGGCTCCAATCGGTCGTACATACTTCATGGGCGTATTGTGAGGTTGATCTTTCGTGTTTTATGTATTGACGCAATCACTTTTCGTGAGCTGTTTTGTCTTTTACATGCCAAGGGTTGAAGGGAGCTGTTGGCTTGTTTGTCAGTGACTTGACGTGTCGAACAGACTCCCTCTTATATATGTAGTCTCTCTACTCAGTTTCTGCAACATAATATAAGAGCCACTTCGGGACTTTCCATACATCCGCTTCCATCTGTCTCTGAAGGAAGCGAAGGTACATCGGATAGGTGCCTCATTCCGCATTTTGATCGTCGTCTCTCGCTTATGGACGTGAAGTCCTTGAGTGAGACGGCGTTGGGTCCTGCCAAGCCTGTCGACGTGTTTATTGGTCCTTCTACTATCATAATCTACGCAATACCTGTTCGGGTAGCATACTGCGCCAATATTATAGATGCTCAGTAGCAATTGAAAGGGTTGCTATGATTGAATGTATCTTGTGATTTGTCTCTAATCTGAATTCGAACTCAGTGTTTCCTCGATGGATACTCTACCCCATACTAACACACATTTTTCGCCAGCTAGACAAATCGATCATTGAATTGAACGAGCAACATGGTTCCCACACCCTACACAACAGCTGGCGATAAGATGGCCCTTGCAGGAAAGATTGCTGTAACTCTTGGAGGTGCGACATGCAAGCTACTTGCATACTCATTCACTGGAAAATCAACAGCCCGGACGGCTCTCATACACACGCTCTATGCGCTTCTGGAAACTTACTGCAAAAACTTCAACCGCCCAAAAGAAATATTCATAACCCCTACAGTCGATACAAATTGCAATTTCCGCAGCTAGTAAGGGTGCTGATCATTCGATATACCACGCCAACGACACGGAAGTATGTCAGTTCGGAGGCAAAGATGCCAAAAAGATAATTCTCTTCTTCCAGGGAGGGGGCTATGTGATGGGAGCATGTCCAAGTCGTTTCAAATTTACTTAGGATGTGTAGAATGCCGTAAGTCAGGCTACTGAGAAGTTTGTCGGCACCAATCTTCTTACGTATTTTCCAGCCCGGCTCAGCAGTATCATAGGCAACTTCGACAAGCAGCGGTAGCACAAATCTAGATATTGAACGATCATCAGAGAAATCCCAGCGATATTAGTAGATTGGCTAATCTTGTTGTCCTGTACAACTGCCGATAGATTATCCTTCTTAGGCAATCAGTCTGGGAGCAGCTTGCATTAGCAAGGTTATCGCATATCATGCATCCACATCCTGATATAGAAGACGATTGTTTTCTAAGAGCCACTTGCTGAAGAGGCTCTCATGTTCTCTTTGGTAAAGATAAACACCACGGAGCCCGCCTTTGGCCGGGTTGCGACGAGACACATGATTACTCCGCCACGAGTCAAGAGTTGGTTGTCGCCATTCCTGAGTAATGCGAAGTCGGGTGCAATCAGCCAGAACTTTGGGGTCCGTAATGGCTTCATAATTTTGATCGTGTGGTACAGAACATCACAATCTGTGGTAGGGATACGGAAGTTCTCATTGGCAGTAACTGCGAGGTCTCTCAGACATCGAGATAGCGCACCATCGAACAACTTGAATGATCGACGAAGAAGCGGCGAATGAAAAGCCTGTTATAGATGCATTACTAGCTCGACCAAAGTCGGATACTGCGAAGGCCATGGAAGTGTATTCTTATCCACGATACAGTTGATATCACGTCGCGAAACCACAATGAACGTACAGTTGGAACCTAGTGTTTTTAGACGCTAACAAGCGTACACACATATATAGGTGTTTCGACCCATGAAACCTTTTATGTTAGATGATACAAGGCGTAGAAATACAATGCAGCCAGGCAGTAGCCGAAGTCAGAGGTTGGGCTTGGCATCTTGAAACCCCCGAGGTTGCCGCAAAGCCCTCGATTGACAGAGACATTGACATTGGAATCAAACGCGACAGCAGTTTGTTCTAGCCTGTCATCCTTTATCGAACCACAATCAAACGGTACCGCCTCCGAGCAACTGTGATGCCTCCCAGGCTGCCTCTGTCCTCGACTGGGACACCCTCACCTTTCTGTCTACAATGCCTACAGCAGTCGCTCAGCACCATCCAGCCAGTCCATCGGGCAGCATTCAGCTCCTCGTCCCGACTTGCTGCAAACCCGCCCAAGAAAAAGGGCGCCGTTGCAAAACCGATACATAGACAGGGACGTACATTGAGACTCAGCAAAGGTAAACGGGAAGGGGGCTCTGGCCGTCCTCCTGCCGTGGGTGAGCGGAAGGCTTTCCGAAAACGAGTGGTTCTCAGCAATACCAACGCCCTCGAAGTCCCCAACCTTAAGGAACTTGGCGCTTCGAATGTCGACACTGGAAGCGTTCGCGCCTCCAAAGGCCAAGTCCTCGCATTTGCCAACGAGTCTGTAGACAATTTAAGAGCATTGGAAGGCTTTAAGCCTACACAAGGTTGGAGCCAATTTAGACGTCCTGCCACGCTGGTTCGTGAAGAAACCGTACAACTTGCTGAGAAACTGGACGAGGCCAGCTTGAAGAAGACGGTGCGCGAGGTCATTCATGGGCCAAGAGGAAGCGGCAAGAGTGTTCTCCAGTTGCAGGGGCTGGCTTTGGCGTCCTTGAGGGGTTTCGTTATCATTCATATTCCAGAAGGTAGGTTTACTGAAGATGTCGTGAAGAGAGTGACAGACGCTGACTCCCACAAGCCAGGGACATCGTGAATGCTCATACCAGCTACGAACCGGTGGAGACGGCTTTCAGGACATTGTACAGCCAGCCACACTACACCGCACAGCTGCTTGCGAATGTTGCGCGAGCCAACCATCATATCCTGTCTAAACTTCAACTCGGCTTAAAACACGAGTTACCTATCCCGATCCAACAAAACATCACACTTCAGCGGTTCGCAGAGCTTGGCGCATCTGACACCGACATCTCAGTGCCGGTCTGGAGAGCGTTATGGCTCGAGCTTACGGCAACCTCCTCTAACAGTGCTGGAGGCCTCCAGCGCCCTCCACTCTACATCAGCATGGATGGAGCTGACCATGCCATGCGTGATTCTGCCTACTTGAATTCTGAGGCGAAACCAATCCACGCTCACGATCTGACACTGATCAACGACTTCGTCTCTGTACTCAGCGGAAAGCGGCCCTTGCCGAACGGAGGCATGGTTGTGGCGGCGCTATCTGAGAGCAATCGGGCATCGACGCCAACTCTAGACTTCTGCCTTGCTCGGATACACGCCAGGAGGCAGGGGGAGGAACTGCAAAAGCCAGATGCATTCCTCGCCTGGGACGAGAGGATCTTCAATGCGATACTTGCGAAGGGATTGTCCGTTAAGCGCTTGTCAGGCCTGACGAAGGAAGAAGCGAAGGGCGTGATGGAGTACTACGCACAAAGCGGTGTGATGAGAGCATCGGTCACACCCGGACTTATTGGCGAGAAATGGTCGCTAGCCGGTGGAGGCATTATTGGCGAGCTCGAGAAGGCTGCCGTCTCCATGAGGTTTTGATGCAGATTCAACACTTGAGGTGTCAGACTTTTAGCTCGAGGGAATCAGCACACCTGGTGACCGATTCCACCACATTCGAAGCGAACTGGAACAATGGCCAAACATATCAGGCAGTCACATGGTGTGCCAATCGTTCATGTTGGTTCTGGTGCTTCTTCAAGAGTACTACCATTGACGGGGAAGCATCAGAAACTGCCATTGTTTGGGAACCTGGGTACTGGCTCGCCGGCTCACTGGCCGGGAAGACATTGCCTCGGTTGCCATCAATAACTCCCGCGCCAATGCACACCACTCGCGTCATGATCTCTCCAGAACCATGTGACCTGGATTGTGGCAATATTCTATCGTTGTAGAGATTGATTTCAAGCTTAAACTAAATGCGACCTGCAAGCAGGCCGGTTGTATCATTACACGCAAACTGTACATCTAACCACGCAACAAATGCATCAATACGTTTGACTCTTCAGCTTTTGATAGTGTCGTTACCTACTATTCTGGTGCACTAATGAACCCTTATCGCAACCGAGAGGGAGTTGGCCCTGAAGGTCATCCGTAGCATTAAGACGAATAAGTCCACAGGTTGGAACACCTCGGATATCACACGTATAATATTAGGGAGAGTAGGCCCTTTGCAGTCAGTATACATCCTCAGGAGTCACCACATTTCCAATGCAGCCGCGTCCTCCCAGCTTGTATATAGCGCGTTGAGCACATAATTCCAACGTAACACATGGACACTCTCGGAAGACATTAATCTTGTTTACAACATCAATCCTCCTATCAGGTAGTACAGCTTTACTCAGTGACGTCCCTTCTTAGGAGCTGAGGATCGTATGATAAGTATCAAGCTGTTGATAAACTATATATACGTCGCGGCATCCAATTGTGCTATGAACAGCATGCCAGTTTGTGCAAACATGTTTGTTTCTCTCCTTAGCTCAGCTGGAAGAGCGTGAGACTGTAATGGATCAACTCGTGTGCCTCGTGTCATTACGTGGGTATCTCAAGGTCCCTGGTTCGAACCCGGGAGGGGAGAATGGTCTTTTGTTTTTGTCTGTCAGCATCTCTTTTAGTATTATAGAGTGCTTCTATGTGAAGGACACAGCTGGTATATCGGAAGGTTCGCACGTTTGAGAGCTGATCTCTCATTACTGGCTCTACAAATCTGGGTGCTTCCAGAGTTTGGTTTTGGACACAATACCATGGTAGTGATATCGTAATGTGGGTGACTTTCCAGAAGCAAACAGTGTGGCTGCAATTGGAGGTAGGATTTTTGCGACACGTGCAAACAACGTGATAATGCAATTAGAGCAATAGGTCTCGCACGACTACACGGCATGAATCCCACGTTTTTTTGGACGTATGCGAACGTGCTCCACAAATGCGGCTATGAGATCCTGGTTTATCTGTACTACAGGCCGTAGGTTGCGCAAGCCAAAGAATTGGCCTCCCGCAGGTTATCCAGGTTTTCGGCCCATTTCAACCCGTCTTAGCCTGATGTTTCAGGCTATGGGCCTCACGTATCCATGGGCTAGATCTTCGAAGAGCTGTACAGTGGCACCCTGATATAGTAAGGTTCGAGCTGAATGCAGTGTAATATTGACTGATGCGGGCCAGCGCAGATGGCGGCACGTAGGTGATGGAGAATTGTTGTTTGGAGACGAAAGGTAGTGTCAAGCAGCAAAACCTGTATATATTGTCCTCTTCGCGCACACAGCTTGGTTCGAGGAGCAACCATATCAATTCACTTTCTCAATCCTTCACGCGGGACCGGATCCATGCTCAAAATGCAGTTTACTATCTTCAGTCTGCTCTTGCTGGCGGCGAATGCCCTTGCTGGACTCACTTATCTGGATGCCAGAGGTGGAGGGGGACGAAAATGTCTGAGTGAATCGACTGCCCAGCAAGTAGCCTCGAACTTCTTCACCATCACAGGAGGCCAAGGGATATTCAACCGTACCGTTGCCGAGGCAGCGCTTGCGAATGACTTCTCTGACACTTCCGGTTCCGTCTCTTCGATTGTCAATGGTGGTAACACGGGCCCGTTGCCGCTCTTGGGCCCAACCTTTGCCAACAAAGAAGATTTCATCAACGCCAATGCGCAGCAGCCGCAGACCCAATTCAAGCAACTCAACTTGTACTTCACCTGCAACACGGTCATCCAACGCTTCGTCGCGTCTCCAGGTTCTCAGCCAGCTCTGGGAATCAGCATATTCGAGGTGATACCTGCACCGAAGGGCAATCTGTACCCGTTCCAGATCAAGCAGGTGTACGGTGAACTCAATAGCGCGGCATGGCTGGTAGATATCGGAGTATTTGTACCTGCCAGCAGCAGCAGATAACTTCTGGGGTATTGAGGGAGTGCAAGATCCGCCAGCTTGACTCTCAAGAAGTCCAAGTGCTGGCTAATGGGGATGGTATTGTCGGCGACACACTATTGGCGACACGTGTAGCTGTCGCATGTCTGCAATTTGGAACCTTTGGATCTGTTTACTATTAGCAAGTGAAGTGGCGGTTTTGATAGGAGATACAGGCTTGGGCTCCTAGACCAAGGTAGAAGAATGTAATTCAATAATCGACGCACGAGTTGAAATCTGATAAAGGTTCAATCAACCCTTTACTTTGTCAATCACCATGAAAATGTCTCGGCTTGTGACGTCTGCTCATTAACTTGCGGGTTCAGCATACATATGATGCTCCACTTGACGATTCCAGTCTATAGGGTATGAAACAACCACAATACTGACGTTACGATGGCACCTCTCAGAATGATGCTTGCAAGAAAGTTCTTGTGTCCTAAAGGAGGAGTGCGGTTAGAGAAGCCTCGCTTAAAGACTATCAATCCTAGTGCCAATGACAGAATGGGGAGAGGACATATCGGAGTCTTGGGTGCCCACTCCCGTAGCACGCTGAACCTGTCCAGCTACATGGTGTCCTGTCAGCCAAAACCACGTTTCTCGTCCTGCATGATAGGATGCTCCCTGCAATGTCCGAGCTAACTCCCGATCCGAGACGGCAACCGTCAATGCTTGATCTGCTCTCGCTAAACGGGTTTCCAGGAGTATTGGTCTCGGCAGTTGGGACTGCGGGCCAATCAGTACCTCCCTGGAATGATTGGCAACGATGAGCACATTGATGATACCAAACAGCCTACGCGAGGTGATGCTGCCGGTGAAGAGCGCAATGAAGGGGGTGTGGCCAAGGAGGGAGGAAGCCATGTTGGTCAGGCACTCCGTATTCCAGCCCCGGCTCTCATCATCAGTCCGGGTCGGCAACGAGCCATCTCAAGAGGACGGCTATGGAAGCCAGTCGAGCACGAATTGATTCGCCATCCTAGAAATTGACGTCGGCATCTTGAGGGTCATGGGACACACGTGGATGAAGGCGGAGACCTTGCGACTGGGAGGGTAGGCGTTGTCGCGAGTGCGTGTCCAGTAGCTTTTCGACCGTTCTGTCTGGTGCCATGGTGTGTACACCATTAGGACCACCAGATCACCCAGCCACGTCGCTACCGAAGCGAGCATAGTGGATGGCCATTTAGGTCGTTCATCAGGCCATATCAACCATGCGTTGACGTAGTAGTAGTTGGTCCTGCTCCTTTGTCTGACTGTTCTCACGCATACAGCCTGTCTTTAGTCATTCGTAGCATTGCATCACCACAAGAGCAGGTTCGGTGCCGTAACGGACGATGGAGACCCTGCAGGCGTTCTGCATGGTAGATCTCGTCCAAGTCAACCATGATGCTATGTAAGCAGGGATGTTCTGACATAACCGGGGATAGCGGCGGGCGTCGACATCACTAATTGGATGCCTGAGAACACCACCGCTACGATGCTGGCTCTGTCTGCAGCTGGAGGGGGAGTGCGAAAGGCGTCCGCCATCTCTCACCGGCAGCGCACCTAGTCGTTAGTCTACAGTAGCACATAATGCCTTCTGTCGCCATTGGGCAAGGAATTCCTCATCTCGTCAGTGCTCGTGGCCTGAGGCTTCTTGGGAGCATAGGGGCCTGAGGGTACAGATGCCAAGGGTCTCGCTAAGGCTGCCTGATTGGGCGCTGCCGGTGGTGCGGGGGGCAGCTTATCTTTCACCTCCGGACGGAAAAGGCGCGATTGCAGCGCAGAGCAGGGCGGGCTGCCAGCACGAGGTTGAGACTGCTGACAAGCACGTACGCTTGACGTTGTCTACCCTGTCGCGACCGCCAGTGTGTTCATGGGCAGGAGGATGTTTGTGTATTCGCGACCGCCTCCCCTTCCTTCCTCTATTGTCGTCTTCCACGAGAAAGGCTGACCCCTCCCCGAGCAAGAGGCTACAACTCGCTCATCACCATACCGACCATGCCTCGACCCAAGAAGGACAACGGTGCTGAACCGAAGAGGCGTAGCAGGACCGGTTGCTGGCCTTGCAAGGCGCGCAAGGTCAAGTGCGGCGAGGAGAAGCCCGGTTGCGCCAACTGTCTCAAGACCGGCGAGACATGCGACTACAGCATCCGCCTGAACTGGTCTGGCCGAAGCGGCGGCAAGAGGGACTCACACGCCATCGACGGCGCCTTCACCTTCGTCGCTAGCCCTGGAGGTAACAGTACCACCAGCGCCGGTAGTCCCGACAAGAGTCCTGCCAACCATGGCCACGAGCACGTCTTCTCCGCCCAGCACATAGCCACTAAGCCTAGCAGGCCTGCACCCACGTCGCGCCCGGAGCATAACCTGCCCACCCCAGATACAACTCCCAGTGCCGCCATGGGCAGCTTGATAGACCCAGGCCTGCCGAACTACCGTCAACAAGCCAACACGAGCTTCTCAAGTCTGCAGCAACGGCCAGACCTGTCCCCGCCTACTTCCGCTCCTGCCTTCGATAGCGTTGCATGGTCCCCTCGGCAGGGTAACAAACGCGTCAGGCTCAGCCCGAAGGACAGTCCTGTCGCCTCAAACAGCAGCCCGTCCTTTGCCATACCGCAGTTCCCTCCAAACTATCATTTGCCTCCAATGGGCGCCAACTCACCAGCTTCGACTACGGCATCGTTCCATTCGCATGGCAGGACCAGCACAGCCAACTTACCCGGCACGCCGAACTCCAGCAACACTCCTGGTTCGCCGTACCTTTCCAGGCCGTTCTCATTTAGTGGTTTGCAGTCTACCCAAGATGCTCCTGATCTCCGGCGGTTGAGCGTCAAGAGTCTACTTACAGACTCGACTGAGGATACCAAGCGCCATTCACATAGGAGAGCTGACAGCATGTCTCATCGCACATATGGCTACGACCACGGTTTGATCGATGTTGATATCCCGATGAATGACGACTTCCGCGTTATACAGCCCAAGTCTCCCGATCTACGAAAGACCTCGGTTGCTATGAGCCAAGTGAGCACATCCTCCGACGAGCAAGACTCGAGGCAGATGGCTTTCGAGCCTGGAGGATACTATGCGCAGCCGGTGCCAGTCAGGATACCAAGGTTTCTTGAACCGCTACCGCAAGAACTACTCAGCAATCCGATGAACCTGCTATACTTCCACCACTTCATCAACCACACCGGTCGCATCATGGTTCCACATGACTGCCCACAAAACCCGTTCCGTGGAGTGCTGGCGCAGATGGCGGTACGGAATCGGCACTTACTCCACCTTCTCCTAGCATTCAGTGCTAGCCATAGGGCCCGGCTACTCGGCCATGATGAGCCTGCGAACCGCATAGCAGAGTGGATGGACGATGTTTTACCCGCGCTGCGACAGGCCTTGAGCGGGCCATCATCTCCTGGCAAACCGGCAGATCCGGCAGACCCCTCCAACCTTGCCCCGCTCGCCACGGCCATTATGTTAGCGTCCCTGGAGATTATTTCTCCCAACACCTTCGCGGTTCCCATCACCTGGCAAGACCATCTGAAAGTCGCGCGGCAGCTCATCGTCGTCAAGGGCGGTCTACATCATCTAGCGCATGACAAGAGCTCTGGAGCTCGTGACAAGGCCATCTTCTTCCTTAGTAGATGGTTTGCCTACCTGGACGTCTTCGGCAGTCTTTCAGGAAGCCAGAAGGCCGAACTTC